CTGTTCAGCTATGCTGTAACACCCCTTCAGAGTAACTAAGAAGTGAACACAGATCATCCAGCCTAGAGGTAGGGATACTGCTACACTGCCACAGCATCCTGTAATTTCCAAGCTCTATACTGTTTCGAGCTGTACTGATTCAGTGAGCTGTTGGCTGTGTGCATGCTTACCTTGTGCACTGAGAATCTTAAAAATTAAAGGTTGTCTTGCTTTCAGGGGACCGCTCCTGTGACTAAAGAGGATGGTATGGTGCAGTGGTAGTGTTTCTACCTCTGGGCCAGAAGGCCTGGGTTCAAGTCCCACTTGCTTCAAAGTTGTGTAGCAACATGTCTGAACAGGTTGATTAAAATATCCGCAAAGATTTCATACAAAACTCCAGCAATTTTCTCACCTGCCTCCTTCAGCAGTCTAGGATAGATCCCATCTTATCTACCTCAATACTGTTTAAAACACCCAACACCTCCTCCTTTTGTTTGTATTGACATGCCCCAGAAGACCAATGTACCCCCCTCCTGAGGCTCACCATCGACCATGTCCTTCTCCTTGGAGAATACCGATGCAAAGTATTCATTAGGAACCTCACCCACTCGCTCTCACTCCAAGCATAAAATCCCTCCTTTGTTCTTGAGTGGATATGGCCTTTTCCTAGATACCCTCTTGCTCCTTATATATGCATAAAATGTCTTCGGATTTTCCTCAACCATGTTAGCCAAAGGCATTTCATGGCCCCTTTTAGTCCTCCTAAATCCTTGTTTGTGGTCTTTCCTGCTATTTTTGTATTCTTCAAGGGCTCTGCCTGCTTTCAGTTTCCTATACGTTACGTTTTTCTTTTTGACTAAGCTCTCAATTTCTCTTGTAATCCAATGGTGATATATCCAAGTGAGGATGATATATAGCTTAACAGAAAATTTGCAGCTGGTGGTGCTTCCAAACATATTCTAACCTTATTCTTCTAAGTGGTAGAGGTCGTGGGTTTGGAAGGTGCAATTTAAAGACACTGGTAAATTGCTGTAGTGCATATATAGCTGGCACACACTGCTGCCACTGTGCACTGGTGGTGAGGGAATGAATCTTGAAGATGGTGGATGGGGTGCCAATCATGTGAGATCTTTGGCTTGGATGTTTGAGCGTCTTGAGTGTTGTTGGAAGTGTACTTAGCCAGGCAAGTAGAGAGTAATCCACCACACTCCTGCTTTATACATTGTGGATAGTAGGAAGGTTTTGTAGAGTCCGGATGTAACTTACTCTCTATGGAATTCACAGCTTCTGACCTGTTCTTTTAGGGTTGGTCAAGTTCATTTTTTGATCAATGGTACTCCACAGGCAAATGACTCTACAATGGTAATACCTTTGAATGGCAAGCGAAGTTGGGGTTAGATTCTCTGTATTGGAGGTAGTCATTGTTGGGCAAGTGTTTGGCATGAATATTAAATATCATTTATAACCAGGAATGGATGCTGTCCAGGTCTTGCCAAACATGACATGGACTGCTTCAGTATCTGAGGAGCCACAAATGGTGCTGAATGTTGTGCAATCATCAACAAATATCCATACGTCTTACCTTACAATGACATTGATAAAACAGCTGAGGATAGTTGGACCTAAGACACTATCCTGAAGAATTCTTGCAGTGGTGTCCTGGTACACATTTTTAGTCTCTAACAACCACAAACATCTTCCTGCGTGCTAGATACGACTCCAACCAGTGGACAGATTTTCCCCTTTATTCTCATTGACTCCATTTTGGCTAGGGCTCCTTGATGCCACAATCAGTCGGGAGCAGTCACTCTCAACTCACCTCTATTCCAGTCTTACTTCCATGTTTGAACCAAGGGTGCAATGAAGGCAAAAAATGAGTGGCCCTGGTGGAACCCAAAGTGAGTTTCAGTGAATAGGTTACTGCTGAGTAAGTGTTGCTCGATCGTACTGTTGACAACACCGCCATACCTTTTATAATCTCACTGAAATGCTACAGAGACAAGTCAGTACAGCTGGCTAGAATAACCAGTCCTAACTAGCCACATAATTAACTAAACACAGCTGCTTCTCTAGTAAGGAACTTAGTTATCCAGACTAAGGCTGAAAGAAACTCAATTTGATAGTAATCTGTAGTTAAGTGCTAAATGCAACCAGATTAGATTTTAGACAGACATTAACCCTTAAAATTCCCTCATTCGTCAAATTCCCGAGCTCACACTATCAAACTGCATGTTGTAACAAATTGATATCTTTATGCTTGCCAGCAGTAAAGGAGGATGAAGAGGTGAAAACTAAACAGAGAGAGACAAACAGAGACTAGCAATTTCAAAGCTACTTCTAAGAAGTAAGAATAAATTAAAATACCAAGTATGAAATATAGTTTCAAAACCAGAAATTGCTGGAAAAGCTCAGCAGGTCTGGCAGCATCTGTGAAGAGAAATCAGAGTTAATGTTTCGGGTCCAGTGACCATTCCTCAGATTTGTGGAATATAGTTTGTCAGAGAAGCAGATACAGGAAGGTCAGGAGGTACCAACTAAGAGGCATGTGATAATCATATAGAGGCAAAAGTGAGAGTCTGAGCTGAAACGAGAAAGAGGGGCACAAGTGCTTTGGCAGGCTGGATGACAGAATTTCTGTGAGAAAAGAAAAGGATTGTATGATCGATGCCACAAAGAAAGAGAGCGAGGAAGATTGCAAGAAAGGGGCACAATAGAGACAGAAAGAGAGAGGTTTGAGATAGCTAAATAAGTTGACATATATAGAGAAACTGCTGTTACATGGCAATTACTGAGACAATGTTGGCACCATAAAATTATTGAATGCTTATAGCAAAGCAAGAGGCAATTTGGCCCATTCTATCATTACTAACTCTCTGAAGCACTTAGTGCAACCCCTGCCTTTTCCATGTAGCCATGCAAATTGTTCCTTTCAGATAATAATCTACATTGTTTTTGAAAACTTCAAATGATCCTCCTACATTCACCGTACTGTCAGGCAAATCCTAATCATTCATAACATAAAAAGCTTTTTTTTTCATGTTGTCATTGCTTCTTGATTATTCTACCGCTCGGAATAGTCTACTCCGCGCTGATTCCTCATGATTCTGAAAACTTCTACCAAATCTCCTCTCAACTCTTCTTCTCCATGGAAAGCAGTCTTAACTTCCCTGATCTATTTCAACACTAAAGTTCCTCATCCCTGGAACCTTACTCATGAATCTTTTCTGCACTTTCTCTAATGCCTTCTCATCCTTCTTTATGTCTTTGCCCAGATCTGCACATAACACTCCAGTTGAGGACAACTCATGCTTTATACAGGCTTAACATACTTTATTTGCTTTTGTACAACACGTCTCTAATGGTAAAGCCTGGGCTGCTGTACGCTTCGTTAATTTCTCTTCCAAATTATCCAGACACCTCCACAGAATTGTTAACATTTCCTCCCAGGCCCTCTGCTTCTGAACTCTTTTAAGAATTACAGAATTTAGAATTTCATAATGTCTCTCCTTGTTCTTCCTACCAACTTGAAATACCTCACAATTCTCTGCATTCAATTTTAACAGCCATGAGTCTATCCTTTTCTCCAATCTATCTTTTCTTGAAGTTCTACACCATTCTTCTTGTGGTTTATAATACTTCCAAGTTTTGGATCATCGGTGAATTTTCAAAGTGGGCTCTGTTCAACAAGGTCTAAGTCAATAGTGCATATCAGAAAAAGTTGCGGTCCTAACATTGTCTCTGAGGGACTCCACTGTAACCCTTCCTTCACGATCTAAAATAATCATTCACCACTACTCTTTGTTTCCTGTCACTCAACCAATTTCATATCCATATTTCTGCTATCCCTTTTATTTCATGAGCTTTGATTTCATTCAGAAATCTGTTTCATGGCACTAATTAAAATGCATTTCGTGTAGTCCATGTACACCACATCAACAGCAGCATCCACATCAACCCTCTTTTATCTCATCAAAATAACTCAAGCAAGTTGGTTAAAAACAATTTGCACTTAACAAATCTTTCTGCTTAAACCTACTATCCCAGAACAGTTAGCTATATTCTTTATTTATAACGCCATGCACTCACACACAAACGCACACTCCAGGTGCAGTTTTACTGGCTTTCTTATTCTGTAAACCTTTTCAACTCGATCATACATAGAAACTCTCCTGTACTGACATTTTTTAAAATGGTTAAAAAAAAATACAGGCTTCATATTAGTCACAATAATCCACAGTGGACAACTGTTTGGGGAATTCTCATCCACATCGGCATTGACCAGATTAAACCAGTTCAGCGGACAGTGTAACCCAATTTGTTACTGGCACACACATACACACAATCTTAACATAGCCCTGACACTAAAAATACACTTTAAGGACAGTGTAAGGCGTTACAGTAATCTACAAGCTATGCCAGGATGAAGAACTGCGAGCATAGCTTCTCCAGATAATCTCAGAATGCCAAATCTCCCCAGTTCTCCAACTGGACTTTTGAATTTTGGGGCATATTTTGGAAGCCAGGTATCAAAGGGGCATCAAGTCAACTGGCTGTAAGAGAAAACCAGCGCAGGCAGAGAAGGGGAAAAAAAGTAAGCAACACACAAAGACTCGGTCTGTCAGCCACCAGTAGAGTGAAGTCCCTGGTTATATTTCAATCTAAAGGTAACTCTGAAGTGATAGCCTCAGTGGGAGTATGCATCTACCAGGCTCACGCCTGTGTCCATACAATTCGTATTTCTCCCCTTTCCACACGGTTCCCAGTTCCTTTCTGGTATCTAGCTGACCCAGACAGCCCGCCAGTGTCAATTTCACTCAGCGGTGACCTGCAAAGCGCTGAAATCTGGCGGGAGAACCACACACACACACACACAGAAAGGGAAACTTGACGCTTTAGGAATCTAGTCTCCCGTCCTATTAAAGTTCACAAAAACCGCTTGGATGGGCAAAGTGCCACTTCCCTTTAAACAGTAACCTAGACAGACCCCGGGGGTATATTTTGTAAAGGGGGTGGTGTCTTACCAGAGCTCTGTCTTGTGTGTGCGTGTGTCTGGTTGGTTGATATTTGTGAACACGTCCCTCTGTCTCCTTCAGTCTTTGCTGTTGTTCGCGGCCAGTCCGGCCTGTTGCTGTCGGATGTCAGGGGCGCTGTAAATGAATAAAGGTCTGAGTGCAGGAGCGTCACCCTCCTGTGGAAAGCAGGGAGTAGCCGGTGTGTGTGTCGGGAAGCTTTCTCACCAGCCAGCCGCTCTGTGTTGGGTCCGCCCATGCGTTCCCTCTCCAGCCCCCTTTTAGCCCACCTCCTGGCGTCACACAACCAAACAAGAACAATAACAGCATTCATTAACCGTTCAAATGTGATCACTGGACACGAGAGTCTTTATATACACGTCGAGAGTTCATAGACCAATGCATCAAGTCTTTGTATAAATATATAACTTCAGAGTTTATATATCAGATATTGTCCATCCTCGAATTTGTATATAGAGTCTATATAAACTCAAGATAAATACACAATCCTTTATATACTATCTATCTAGAGGTTACATATAGATTGAGCCTTTATGTAAGTATTATGAACTTATCTTGAGTTTGAATATTATATATATCTAGAGTCCATATATTTTCTCCAGTTTGCGAATATATCGAGTCTTCACGTAACTATAACGTATACATCTTAAAAGTAGAAAATAAGAACAGGGGTAGGCCATGCGGCCCTTTGAGCCTGCTCTGCCTTTCAATATGATCATGGCTAATCATCCACCTCAGTCCCCTGCTCCCGATTTCTCCCCAAACCCTAAGATCCACTTATCCCTAAGAATTATCTCTAACTCCTTCTTCAAAACATTCAATGTTTTCACCTCAGCACCTTTCTGTAGCAGTTTATTACTCACATCAAGCATCAACCTACATGAACAAATACAGAAATTGCTGGAAATCTCAGCAGGTCTGGCAGCATCTGTGGAGAGAACTCAGAGTTAACGTTTCAAGTCTGGTGATCCTTCCTCAGAATGATCCTTCCTCAATGTACATAATATCTGGAATTTATATCTATATGTAAACAGCATGTTAAGAGTTAATAAAAACCTAAAGAACTGTGGATGCTGTAAATCAGGAACAAAAACAAAGCTGCTGGAAAAGCTTCGCAGGTCTGGCAGAATCTGTGAAGAAAACTCAGAGTTAATGTTTCGGGTCCAGTGACCCATCCTCAGAGTATAGTATGCATATCAAGAATCTAAATATTGTGCATTGCTCAAGAGTTTCATTTTACAAATATTAATACAGTCTTTATGTGTATGTAGATATATGTCCTCCCTCTACTTTGTCATTACTATATTTCATAAGCTGGTTAAATGATTCAGATAAATAATTTTCTTTTCCAATTATTTCTACAAAAATAACCTTATTTCTGTATGTTTTGAGTCAAGGAATCAGTTTCGCAAATAGCTGTAAAAATGTTCTCTAGCCGAGTGTCCTGCCAGGCATGGTATACAGATGATGAACATCTGGCACAGTGTGAACTTTAACAGCACAAGTTTGAAAAAAAAACACTAATTAAAAAGGTACAAATATAATCCAGGAGGCTGATTTTTATTCAGGAAGCAATCTCAGTATCAGTACTGCTGAGTGAAAACTGGGATTAAACGAGATTGAGACCTTCATGTTGCATTGCTTCTCCATCTGTTAGACCAGAATGTACCCAGTCACTCAGACAACAGATTCTTTTTTCAATTTGATCTGGCGGTTTTAGAAAGACAGTGAACTCTGAATAGTTCGGATGTGTGATTTAGGAAAGCGACATTCAATCAGTGCTTCAGATTTTTTTTCTGTAAGCTATAGGTCTCACCATGTGATGCATCACTGATCTTTGTAAAGTCTGCTTGTGATATTTAAGTCATTTTGATTTTACCATTTTGCATGCTTTAATAATTTGAAAACATTTTTGAAAATACACATCAAAGTGGAAGATTAGTGGTAAATAATGAATGATATATTTAAATTAAGGGATGTAGATCATAGAGCAGAGTGGAAATTCAATGCTAAAATGTTAATGATTGAATGACTTGAATTCCACTTTATGAGTTTCTTTACTTTTTCGTGGGATATGAGTGTCATTGACTCGATCAGCATTGGTTGCCCTGCAGTGATTACTCTGAGCACCAAAATGGCCAGTGGGCCTGTACGGAAGGGACCAGTGTCATCAGCTGGCTGCAACAGGCTTCAGTATGCATCCAGACAGGCGCTGCTGATAACACTGTATTCCATGTGCAGTCACCATAAGACCATAAGAAGTAGAAACATTCAGCTTCTCAAGTCTGCTCTGCCATTCAATAGAACCATGGTTGATCCAACATTCCTCATTTCCACTTTCTTGCATTTTTCCCATAACCCTTAATTCCCCTACTGATTAAGAATCTATCTATCTCAGCCTTAAATATACACAAGGACTCTGACCCCATAGCTCTCTAGGGAAGGAGTTTCAAAGACTCTCAACACTCCAAGAGAATAAATTCCTCCTGATCTCATTCTTAGATTGGCACCCCTTTATTCTGAGACTGTACCCTTTGGTCCCGTACTCTCCCATGAACATAAGAACTAGGAGCAGGAGTAGGCCGTCCGGCCCTACGAGCCTGCTCCGCCATTCAATAAGATCATGGCTGATCTTTTTGTGGACTCAGATCCACTTACCCGCGTTCTCACCGTATCCCTTAATTCCTTTATTGTTCAAAAAAAATCTACCTTATCTTTAAACACGTTTACTGAAGTAGCGTCAACTACTTCACTGGGCAAGGAATTCCATGGATTAACAACCCTCTGGGTGAAGAATTTCCTTCTCAATTCAGTGCTAAATCTGCTCCCTCTAATCTTGAGGCTATGCCCTCTTGTCCTAGCTTCACCTGCCAGTGGAAACATCCTCCCTACTTCTATCTTATCTATTCCCTTCATAATTTTATATGTTTCTATAAGATCCCCCCTCAATCTTCTGAATTCCAATGAATATAATCCCAATCTACTCAGTCTCTCCTCATAAGCCAACCCCCTCAACTCCGGAATCAACCTAGTGAACCTCTTTTGCACCCCCTCCAGTGCCAGTACATCCTTTCTCAAGTAAGGAGACCAAAACTGCACACAGTACTCCAGGTGTGGCCTCACCAGCACCTTGTACAGCTGCAACATAATCTCTCTGCTTTTAATCTCAATCCCTTTAGCAATGAAGGACAAAATTCCATTTGCCTTCCTAATTACTTGTTGTACTTGCAGACCTACCTTCTGTGATTCATGCACAAGGACACTCAGGTCCCTCTGCATAGCAGCATGCTGCAACTTTTTACCATTCAAGTAATAATCCTTTTTACTATTACTATTACTCCTACCAAATGAGGAGAAACATCCTTAAGACTCCAATATATTTCAATGAGATCACTTTGAATTCTTCTCAACTCCAATGAGTAGACTCCCAACCTGTTTAGCCTTTGTTCATAAGACAGTCCCTCCGTTCCAGGGATCATCCAAGTGAACCTTCCCTAAACTGCCTCCAATGAAATGATGTCTTTCCTGAAATAAGGGGACCAAACTGCTCACAGTACTCCAGGTGTTGTCTTACCAGCAAATCATATAGTTGCAGTGAGAGTTACCTACTCTTATACTCCAGGCCCTTTGAAGTAAGGCTAACATTCCATGTGCCTTCCTGTTTACCTGCTGCATCTGTGTTCTAGCTTTCTGCATTTTGTGCACAGTTACCCCCAAGTCCCTTCGTGTTGCAGCTTTCTGAACATTTTTTCATGTAAATAATACTCTTCTTTTGTCCTCCTTTCCAAAATGAACAAATTCACATTTGCTCACATTATACTCCATTTGCCAACTTTTTGCCCACTTACTTACCCAATCAATCTCTCTGTAAACTGTTTGTGTCCTCACAAGTTGCCTTTCTACCTGTTTTAGCATCATCTGCAATTTGGCTACAGAACATTGGCTTCCTTCTTTCAAATCATTAATATATATTGTAAACAGTTGCAATTCTAGTACTGGTCCCTGTGGAACCCTACTGTTTACAAATTGCCAACCTGAGAAAGAACCCCTTATCCCCACCCGCTTTTTCCTGACCATGAGCCAATTCTCTATCCATGCCAAAATACTACCTCCAACATTGTAGGCTCTTATCTTATGACTTAACCTTCTGTGAAGTACCTGTTGAATGCCTAATGGAAGTCCAAATACGATACATCTATTGGCCCCCCTCTATCCATTCTGATTGAAACTTCCTCAAAAAATCCAAATAAATTCATCAGATACAATTTCGCTTTCATGAAGCTGTGCTGACTATATTCAATTAGATTATGATATGCCAATGTGTTCCTATTACTTCCTTAATAACTGATGCCAACATTTTCCAACAATAGATGTTAGGCTAATCATCTACAGTTATCTGCTTTTTGCCTCCCTCTCCTTTTGAGTAAGGGTGTCACATTGGCATTTCACCAATCGCCCAGTATTAATCCAGAATCCAAGGATTCTGGAAAATTACAACCAATGCATCCACCATCTCTGTAACCACTTCTTTTAGGATCCTAGGATGCAAGCCATCAGGTCCAGGGAACTTATCTGCCCTTAATCCCATTAGTTTGTCCAATGCTACTTCTCTAGTAATGTGATGGTACTTAATTCCTCCCTGTGTTCTTTTGCAGTAATGGGACTTTCGAAATATCTTCCACCATAAAGACTGTTGCAAAATATTTGTTTAACTCCTCTGCCATTTCCTTGTTTCCACCACTATTTCGTCAGATTCATTATCTAAGGGGCCCATAAACACTTTAACCTCTCTCTTTTTATATGTTTAAAGAAGCTCTTATTGTCAGGTTTTATAGTTTTCCCTCATAGTTTATGTTTTCTCTATTATCTTTTTAGCCCTCTTTCACTGGATTCTGAACTATCGCAGCCTTAAGGGCTATAACTGACTTTTGCCTCGTTATATGCTTCTTCTTTCAACTTTATAATCTCCTTAATTTCCTTGGTTAGCCATGATTGGTTTCTCCCTCTATTAGAATCTCTCCTCTGTATTGAGATATATTTTCGCTGAGAGTCATGAATTACCTCCCTAAATGCCTGCCATTGCTTGCTTACTATCATTCCTGCTAATCTGTCTGCCCAGCACATTTTAGCTAACTCTATTCTCATTTCATTGTAATTCCCTTTATTTAAGTTAAACACAGTCGTTTCCAACACATGTTTCTCACTCTTTTGAACTGAATATTAAAGTCTACCGTGTTATGATCACTACTTCCCAGGGGATCTTTTACTCTGAGATCATTTACTAAACATGCCTCATTCCCAATTACCAGATCCAGGATAGCCTGTTCCAACTGATATGATCCAATCAAAATGAAGATTATAGTCATCCATAATTATTGCTCTGTTCTTGTTACATACTCCTATCATTTGTTGATCTGTACCCTTTCTTACAGTATGGCTACTGTTTGGGGACATGTCACTGTCACCTTGTTCACAGACTGCCCCCACCTTTATTTAAAGTTAATTAATATTTAAAAGAATCCTCCTTGCTGCCTGGGCCAATTAATCTCACAGTCTTTCCTAGCTCCTTGTGCCAATTCAGTTTGGGGCAGGGGCAAGGGCAGCAATGCCAGTTGGTCCCTTGTGCCATTAATTTTGTCCCTGGCATCATCATTTTTCTGCCAGGTGGCTCTTGTGTCTCTGTCGCTGGACAGCAATACTGTGTCAGTCAATGTCACTGCACAACAACACTCATTGCTGCACCTGATGCCATTCACGGGAAAAAACATAGCCTTGTTGCCCATCCCTTAAACTGACTGGAAAGGGCAGTTAAGATTCAAGAACATTGCTATGGGTCTACAATCACACATGGGCCAGACCAAGTAAGAGTGGCAGATTTCCTTCCCTAAGGGGACCAGATGAGTTCTCATGGCAACCAATGGTAGTTTCATGGTCACATTGTCTGTTGACGCATCACCCTGAGCTGTTTACTTGGCAGCTTTTGTCGGCCATTGTTTACCTTTGCCCAACACTCTCAGGGACAGAACAAAAAGGCAATTCTACCACAGCCGAGAGAGGAATTGAACCCATGCTGCTGCCTTTAATCACAACTAACCATCAAGCCAAGTGAGCTAACTGGTCCCTCTCAGAGCTTGAATTAAGGATGGAATATACAATGTTTGTTAACATACGGTATGTTTTATTCACTCATGGGATGTGAATTGCTGGTAATGCCTGCTTTTATTGCCCAACCCCAAATGCCCTGAAATGGTGGCGAACCATTTTCTTGAACATGGCTGTTCAGCTGAGGAAATGACAGGGCTGTTAGATAGGCAGTTCGAGGATTTTGATCTCGGGGTAATAATTGTTTTGTGGGCACTTATTTTTACATAAAGATCCTATGAATGTTGTTGTAGTATCGAACCTAACTTCAATGTTCATTGGCAGTGTTACCCTGCCCACTGTAGAGTGGAAATAGTGAAGAGATTCTCCTTAATTGTACTTTGAAACATAAGCATAACTTTAATTCATTGAGGTAATCAGAAGAATCGTACTGAATGAAAGGATAAATTTTCTAGTTAGACTATGTGGAAGTTATTCACAATAAATACCAATGATATTTATATGATCCCAACAAACAATGAAGATTAATGTAAAGAGGTGCATGTGTGGAATGAGCTGCCAGAGGAAGTATTGGAGGCTGGTACAATTACAACATTTACAAGGCAGAACTAGATTAATTTATCTGGTCGGCATGGACATGTTGGACCGAAGGGTCTATTTCCATGCTGTATAGCTCTATGACTCTATAATCTTGTTTGTGATGGAAAGTTTTGGAGTGTCGTAGCATCTTGTTTGGTTACCACGTTGGAATATATTCTACAAAGGATGAATTACGTAAACACTCAATTTGGTGACGCTGCACACTTTTACCTTCAGTGCTCAGTAAGTTCTGAAAATCAATCTTTGCACTTTGGAAATGAAAGCTGTTTCTGAGCATTTTGAAAACAGATTAGATTTGTATGATATCTTCGAATCTTTGCTACGTTGAAATACAATGATCATATTCTATTGCAGACAAGTAACAATAGGGTTAGTTGACTGTATTTACAAGAGTTGGGTTTGTATCATTTACAATTTTATTAGGGGGATATCGATTTGCTTTCAAATTTTTAATGAAAATATACATTGGCTATAGTTGTTGCTGTTGAAGAGTTTATTTGTGATGGGGATAAAAAACAGCTCCAGGTCTTCTGGAGTGTAGTCAATTTTGTTTCGGAAGTCTGTGAGAGGATTGTTAATTTGTTGATTAAAAGACTGAGGTAATATCCAGCATGGATGTTTTGTTTTGCTGTCTTTCATTATGAACTTTGCCACTACCCTGGTGTTTCACGTTTTCAGGAGACCTGAGTTCTTCTTCCCAAGGAATATTGAATTGTTTTGATTGACTGATGTTGGGTGTTGCTATGGTGCTATGAATGTGAAAAGTGCTACAGTGCTTTGTTGGTAATCGGCATGAAGGAAGACAGTTGAATTTATGCCATCATTGTGTATGGATGTCGATGTGTCACATGCCCTGTCATACGATTTCAGGAGTACAAATTGTACAAAGTTTAATAAATAAACTGTCAAAATTCAACCTGCAAGCACAGAGAAAATATAATCAGATAGAAAAAACATAGATTCAACTTATTGTCTGTATGGTACACCATACTTAACACAAAAGCACCATCAGCAACTTGCCAGTAACAGTCTCATATGTAAAACTTGATGATCACACATTGAGTTTCTTAAGACAAATGGTTGGGTCTGTCTTGTTTTTGACTGTTTTTTTGTTCAGTCTCTAAATTTTTTTTCTATTGCGCTTGCTGTTCTTTGAATTCCACTCTTTTTCTCTCTATGTGGATTTTTCTTACTGCACTGTTTGCACTTTTCTGATTGTTTCTCACTTTTCCGCTATTGTTTTATTGATAAGTCTCTTCTTCCTGTAGCATCCTCTTCTGTATGTCTCCCAATTTGGCTGTCACACATGCTGTTAAACTGCCATCACCAATTTAAATGCCTTCCCATTTGTTGAAGCCTATGATTCATACCGAGCCAGGCCGTGCGACAGCCTCTGACAGAAGAACTGGAGTATTTGGCTGACGGCTGAGGTTAGGACCTGAAAGAGAGCAAGTCAAAACATTAGGTGTTAGGGGATCAGGAAGCAGTGGCCTTGTCCACATCATAGTTTGAGATTACTTTGATTTCTGATTCATTGCTTACCTTCTAATAAAATACAACATTTAGGAAAATAAGTGAATTGGTTTTAGTCAAAGAAACAAGTATCATTCTTTACGGTCTGTTGATAGTCACTGAGAATGGAAATGTCTGAGTTTGATGTTAACAATTTGGCAAATTTGCTTTGAGCACAGCTGACTAGGAAGCATCTAGATCATATTTTCTTGAATGTAGCCTCTATGCCGTTGAGTCATTCCAATAAAAAAAATCCAGTATCTCAAGTCTCTCACCATAACTGCATTTTCCCATTCAAGCTATTACCCAGGTACACTATCTGTCTATGTGTTTAAATCTGTACCAAAATGTCCAAAACAGAATGGTACTGCAGCTGTGGTCTAACCCATGCCTTTTCCCTATACTAATAATTACTGTGTTTTTTCTCATAGCTTTACCTAGCTGCATTCAAGCTTTCAAACATTAATGCTTTGGACTTAAGGATCCTTCTCTCATTCGTGTTCATCAACACTTTTTTTTACATGGAAACATAAAAAATAGAAACAGGAGTTGGCCATTCACCCCTTCAAGTCATGGAAACATAAAAATTAGAAACAGGAGTTGGCCATTCAGCCCTTCAGGTCTGCTCTGTCATTCAATATAATCATGATTAATCATCCAATTCAGTATCCTGTTCCTGTTTTCTCCCTTTGATATCTTTAGCCCTACGAACTATCTGTATCCTTTGTGAAAGCAGTCAAAGTTTTGGCATTGAATTTCACAGATTCACCATGGATAAAAAGATTTCTCCTCAGTGCTAAATAGCCTACCCAATATCCATAGGCTGCGACCCAAGGTTTTGAACTCCCAGTCGTAGAGTCATGGAGTTGTACAGCATGGAAACGGACCCTTTGGTCCAACTCATCCATGCTGACCAGATATCCTAAACTGATCTAGGTCCATTTACCAGCATTTGGCCCATATCCCTCTAAACTCTTCCTATTCATTTGCCCATCCAGTTGCTCCTCAGGTCCCTTTTAAATCTTACCCCTCCCACCTTAAACCTATGCCATCTAGTTTTAGACTCACTAGGAAAAAGACTTTGACTACTCACCCGATCCATGCCCCTCATGATTTTATAAACCTCTATAACGTCACCCCTCAGCATCTGACAATCCAAGAAAATAGCCCCAGCCTAATCAGCCTCCCCCTATAATACAAACCCTCTAATCCTGGAAACATTCTAGTAAATCTTTTCTGAACCCTTTCAAGTTTACCAGCATCTTTCTTGTAGCATCCTTTCTGTACCTACCCTGTTTTGTTCTGGTAGAATTTTATAGGTTTCGATGAGATTCCCCCTCACTCTTCTAAACTTCAGTGAATATAGCCGTAACTGATGCAATCTCTCTTCATTCATCAGTCCTGACATGCAAGGGATTAGTCTTATACAAACCAGGCAAACTTGGCCTCCTAAATAACTGTTCTAATTTTAAGTGTTAGTTGAATGACTAAATGTAAACTGGCCACTGTAACAGCCACACAGGAATCTCAATCACAGCTTCACAATCTGAAAAGATAGCCTGACTATCAACTTAAACACTGAGAAGATGTCAAGGTAGAAGGAGTTGGCAGAGAGACACTGAGAGGCAGTTTGAGTAAGTTCTGAGGGCAGTTCCAGAGACATTGAATCAACAGTTCACTCTGGGTTCGAACGTAAAATAATATTAAAAGGAAAAGACAAGCAACAAAAATAGCCTGAACCATAAGTAACTTCAATTTTCAACTCATAGCTGCAAGTCATGGAGCTCCACAGAAGGCTCAGCAAGTTACCTTGGGCTGAATCTTACCATTTTCGTCAAGTTTTATAGAAAGTTTCTCTCTGCAAAGCCTAATGTGTTTTCTCACACGATCATCCCAAGATTGCCTCATTAACTATCTACCATGCTGTCCTTCTTATCCAGTGCTAGTCAATTCTTCCACTCTCCTTAGCCATGAGTACTTGCCATTGCTGGGACTTCCTGGAATATACATCAGCACCATATTTAAAAAGCCATCCGGAGCCAGTCAAGCACTGGCAGACCAGAACTACTCTGAACGATTGTAGATATTTTCCCTGTCAAAGCTGAGATGGGAATTTGGTGGCCTGCACTGGGGACAGGACCTGGACATTCTGCTAGTCAATGACCTTCTCCACTCCACTATGGTAAGTTCTACCATTTGCTACCTCACCCTCACTCTATTTCTGTTACTGCATCCAAATCCCACCAAGGCTCACAGTCAATCATTCTCAATATTGCATGGAAAATCTTCCCTCACTCACTCTTGCCACCTCAAACTCAATTCATGCCCAAACCTGCATGGCCTCTGTACTGCCTGCTCCCTCACTAGAGTCATGTCACTATTGTTTCCCCCTCCTGTACCAGCACCAACAGCCGTGCCACCCATTTTCATCTCCCTCAATCCCTCCTTTTCTCTCAAGCCTCATTCTCTTGGAAAATGGCCCAGTACAGGGCCAAAAGAGCAAAGGTAGATGGTGGGGTGTCAGATAGTTGTCACTTTACATCCTATGGTAAGAAAATGTTGGCCTGACCTGGTGAAGATTGGGACCGGTCCTGTGGAGATGCTGAAATCTCCATATCCTGGCAACCAAGTTGTTGGCATTGTTGTGCTACTCTCTTTTTTACAAACCATCCACATGCCACAATGTCCACACCTTGATCGTGACATTTACTCTTTTGTCTCCTGCAGGCATTAGTCCACATTGCCCATCGTCAGGAGGCCAACCCGTTAGACATGCCCTTCTCTACCTCTGAGGAGAGGGCACAGATATCTCAGAGGAAGCACTAGCAATGCTGCCTCCTCCTGTGATGCTGATATTTTGCCTGACATATCTGTGCGACTGGCTGAAGAAGGAATGTCCCAGGTCGCTGGCACTCAGAGGGCTGCTGGAGACCAGGGCCCCTCTCAGCCCCAGGCAGGAGAGGACCTTATGGTGTTGACAATGAGGAACTTCCTTGGTGTTGACAAACAGACTCAAGAGCAGCAAGCAGGTTTGTCAGGGGCACTGGGCAATCTGACACAAAGGCTGCAGCAATGCAGCAATGCAGTTGGGACTCTGCTGTCTCAGGCATGCCAGCATCTGCCTGCCTCCATGGACAGGTTGGCAGCTGCCCTGGAGAGCCAGGTCCAGCATACCCAGTGTCTGATGGATATGCACAGGTATATACTCCATTGTTCTAGCCGCTGGTAGTCAGCACCAACAGGGGGATGGGAGATCTGGACCACACTCCAGGTGCCCATTCAGCACACCGAGACACAGTGGAGGAGGAACCATGTACAGACCCTCCCACACCTCCAGATTCTGTTATGAGGGCACTCCATCCCCACCGTACCTGCCACCCTCAGCCTGTGGGAGTTCAAGCCCAGGAGAGTGCATTTGCTTCTGTGTAGGATACACTCTGCATGTCTGGGCTGTCTAGACACAAATCACCTAGAGTTGTTTGACCAAACCTCCAAGGCCAATGGGCTCCACTGTAGGCAGGCTCCCTCCATGCCTGCTGCCCACTCTGGGACTGTACCTAGATGCAATCGGATGGAAAGAAAGAAGACAAACCTCTGAGGGGACATAGATGGCGTGGGTGAAATGTCACTGCAAAAATGGTATCACATTAGTATATATGTTTTCTTTTGACATCATGCGTGTGTGTGCGAGCTGGATGCAACTGTAAAATCGGAAATAGAGAACCCACCCATCTTTAGCACAACATGATATTCTGTGGTCCAAGGTGTGAAGTGGGCATGTTCCCCATATGCAGGCAATGGTTAAAATGCAGGTTGCTGCTACTTAGGCACTGGGCTTCAACTTTCCAGGTAGACAAACATTGCTATTGCATCACACACCTCAGTGGGATTTGGTTGTTATCTTGCATGGTATGGTCAGGAGTTCTTGGGGCAAGAACTTGGACTGCAGAGAGAAGCTGCTGATTGCGTACAGTTCACAAAGCATGTACTGCTCGAAGGTGTATTTCAGCTTCAGTGCTGGGATATCTGTGTAATGGTGTTGCTGTTTGAAGGGTCTCACATTGCTTGAAGTCCCCTCCTTTGCAGAACATAGCACTGCAGGTCTAGTTGCAAACATTTTCATCTCCAGTGCGCACTTGATACTTACTGCAACAACAGTCACTCCTTGAACAGTGAGTCTCAGGCTCTGTCTGTCTGACGTGGTAAACCTTCAAATCTCCACATCTCCTTCCTGGTAGCCCTCTGTGTCATCCTTATGGGTTTTGAACTTCAACAACATGACCATCTCTTGACAGATGACTGCTGACCGTGCGACAAGTTGTCTGGCTTTGTTCCTGCATAAAACTGCAAGAGATGACAGATGTACTGTGAGTCTTTAAAGTGTGGCTGAGGGAGCAAAGTGCTAAAAAGGCAAGGCAAGGCAGGGATGCTGTAAAATTCTAGGTAGGCCTTAAGACAGTGAGCACTAAGACAGCAAGTGAGCAGCCCTGGGATACAGCCTGGTTTAATTTGTGAGCTGGGTGCCCGTCCCTTTGTGCAAAGTGTCCCTGCAGCATCATTCCAATGATAGTTGCTTATGTACCCCAAAATGCAGCATTGAAGTGCAGAAATGTACAATAGGCAGATCAGGTGGATGTGGTATGAGGGTGCAGAGAGGCTCATATGTGTCAGATAGCTGCACTCCTGAACGTGAAGTGGGTCACTGCTCATAGAGACATTGGTGACAAGTGCCCAAGATGGGATTCTGAAGGGACAAGTGGAATTCTGGAGTCTCCAGGTACACACTCTGACTTTCATGTCAGGAATTCTCAATGTATAGCTTCCATATGGTGGCTGAGAGAATGGAAAACTGTATATTAATGAGGAAAGATTAAAATAGTGAGGGTAATAATGAGTGATAACCCTTGTTAAGAGGTGTCTTGCGTCTCATTAATGAGAATCTCATCTTGGTGACCAGAATTTAGTCGGAAAATGTTGCTCCTCTCAATGAAAAAAGCCTTACTTGACTTGTCACAAATTGTCCCACATTTCCTGCCAGAGTCCATGTTGGTAGGGGCTTGGGAAGAATCTGCCCGTAGTGATTGACTTATTCATTCCACCAAGTGGGGACTGAGGTTCATCCTTAGTCTTGGCTAAATCAAGCGATCGCACCTAAAGCAGTGACAGGGAATCTGCGATTGATGAAAACACAGTGGGCTAAAGGAGGAGAAAGAAATCACCCAGGATTAATTGATTGATTTATTGTCATGTGTACCAAAATGCAGTAAAAAGCTTTGTTTACGAGCAATACAGGCAGATCACAGCAAGTAAAGGATGTACAGATCAAAAAGACTTAGAGGCATACAGTTTACATTGCAGGATACATTATTTAAGGCTAGAGTCCATTCACAGTCTGATAACGGCCAGAAAGAAGCTGTTCCTGAACTGGAAGTGGTTGTAGGAGGTCATTGCCAGGGTGTGATGGGTAATTGTTATCAGTGACACTTGATAGAAACTTTTTTTTATAGAAAAGGGATAAAAACAAGATCAGCTTGGTTGTGATTTGCTGGGGTTTTTTGTAGCTGTTACCTTATGAATTTATATTTTCCTCTTACTTCAGAAAGGACATACTTGCTTTGGAGCAGTTCAGTGGAGGCCAACTCAACTAGCTCCTAGCATGAAGGGACTATCTTATGAAGAAAGGCTGAACAGGTTTGGATTGTATCCTTTTGGAGTTTAAAAAAATGAGAGGTGATCTCGTTGAAACATTTAAGATTCTGTTCCACTTACTCCTCCTCCTTCTCTCACTAAAGTGAAGTGATGGAAGGTGTTATTAAGCACCTGCTCAGCAATAATTTGCTCAGTGACGCTCAGTTTGGGTTCCACCAGGGCGACTCAGCTCCTGACCTCATTACAGCCTTGGTTCAAACATGGACAAAAGAGCTGAATTCTGGAGGTGAGGTGAGAGTGAGAGCTCTTGATATTAAGGCTGCATTCGACCAGGTGTGGCATCAAGGTGCCCTAGCAAAACTGGAATCAATGGGTATCGGGGGCAAGCTCTCCATGGTTGGAGTCATACTTGACACGTAGGAGGATGAACGTGGTTGTTGGAGGTCAATCATCTCAGCTCCAGGACATTTCTGCAGAAGTTTCTCAGGGCAATGTCCTAGGCCCAACCATCTTCAGCTGCTTCATCAGTGACCTTCCCTGCATCATAAGGTCAGAAATGGAGATGTTCACCAATGATTGCACAATGTTCAGCAGCATTCGCAACTCCACAGATACTGAATCAGTCCATGTTCAAGTGCAACATGATCTGAACAATATCCAGGCTTGGGCTGACAAGTGGCAAATAACTTTCATGCCACACAAATGCCAGGCTATGACCATCACGAATCAGAGACAATCTAACCACCACCCCTTGGCATTCAATGGTGTTACCATCACTGAATCCCTCACTATCAACATCCTGGGGGTTACTATTGACCGGAACCTCAACTGGACAAACCATATAAACACAATGGCTACAACAGCAGGTCAGAAGCTAGGAAAACTGCAGCAAGTAACTCACCTTCTGACTCCTCAAAGCCTGTCCACCATCTACAAAACAGAAGTCAGGAGTGTGATAGAATACTCCCCACTTGCCTGGATGGGTGTAACCCCAACAATACTTAAGAAGCTTGACACCATCCAGGACAAAGCAGCCGCTTGATTGGCACTACACCCACAGGCATCCACTCCCTCCACCACCAATGCTCAGTAGCAGAAGTGTGTACTATCTACAAGATGCACTGCAGAAATTCACCAAAGATCCACAGACAGCACCTTCAAAACCCACAATCACTTCCATCTAGAAGGACAAGGGCAGCAGACATATGGGAACACCACCACCTTCAAGTTCCCCTCCAAGCCAATCACTATCCTGACTTGGAAATATATTGCCATTGTCTTAGGGTCAAAATCCTGGAATTCCCTCCCTAAGTGCATTGTGGGTCAACCCACAGCAGGTGGACTGCAGTAGTTCAAGGAGGCAGCTCGCTACCACCTTCTCAAGGGCAATTTGGGACCGGCAATAAATGTTGGCCATCCAGTGATGCCCACATCCCACAAATGAATATAAAATAAAGCTAGCATAAAAACCATAATTTTCCAGCTCCTTTCTTCTCCTGAAGAAGATTCATACCAGACTCAACACATTAACTGTATTTCTCTCTCCACAGATGCTGCCAGCCCTGTTGAGTTTTCTCAGTACTTTCTGGTTTTATTTCGGATCTCCAGCGTCCATTGTATTTGCTTTTATTTTAATAAGGGACACAATGGGTAAATCACACATTCCTGGAATAACCGTGTACATTTCCATTTTGTTATAAACGTTTCAAAAGACAATAAATATATCATTTAAAATAAATACTTCAGTCGTCACTGTCAATATTGTCAGAGAGTACATAGTGTCCTCTCAGGGTCATTTTTCTGAGGAAACATTGAAACACTGACGACAGTGCAGATAAACACTAGCGATATCTTTCTGATCTGGGGAATGAGGTAACTTAGGTTATAAAGTCCTAGTATATAATTAATATATATATATATATTTCAGTATAATATATTAATTTTAAGGTCAACAACAAAAAGGTGTATAAGAGCAGTGCATTTAGAACAGACAGACATGCAGAAATTCTTTTCAATGATTAGTTAAACTGAAGGCTTCAGGCAGTAATTAAAAGACATTACATAAAATTTTTGCAATCCCAGGACTGATATTACACCATGTCTTAATGGGTGGTCTTAGTGAAAATATTGCCATGTGACAATTGATCGATTGTTCTTCATGACTGCTTCAGGACATCATATTGACGTTGTACAGGACATTGGTGAGGCCACTTTTGGAGTACGGTGTTCACTTCTGGTTACCCTGCAATAGGAAGGATATTATTAAATTTGCTAGGGTTCAGAAAAGACTTACCAGGATGTTACAGAGACTGGAGGATTTGAGTTATAAGGAGAGCCTGGATAGGCTGGGATTTTATTCCCTGGAGCACAGGGAGGTGGGGTGTGGCCTTATAGAGGTTTATAAAATTATGAGGGGGACAGATAAGGTGAATATCCAAGGTCTTTTCCACAGGGTCGGGGAGTCCAAAACTAGAGGGCGTAGGTTTAAGGTGAGAGGGGAATGATTTAAAAGGGACATGAGGGGCAACTTTTTCACACAGAGGGTGGTGCTTATGTGGAACAAGCTGCCAGAGGAAGTGGTAGATGCACGTATAGTTATAGCATTTAAAAGACAGTTACATAAGTACACAAATGGGAAAGATTTAGCGGGATATAGGCCAAATGCAGGCAAGTGGGACTAGTTTAGTTTGGGAAACTTGGTCAGCATGGATGAGTTGGACTGAATGGTCTGTTTCTGTGCTGTATGACTCAATGACTCAATAATCAACAGAAAGTAGGTTGCTTTGCATGCTGAAGATCAATGTTAAGTTAATGGGTTACTATTGACTAGAAACTGAATTGGACTAACCAAGTAAATATGGTGAGATATAAAAGCAGGTCAGTGGCTGGTAATTCACCAGCAAATAACTCATGTCCTCTCCTGACTCCCCAAAGCCTGTCCACCATCTACAAGGTAGAAGTCAGGAACACGAAGGAATATTCCCTAATTTCTTGGATGAGTGCAGCTCCAACAACACTTAAGGAGCTTCACACCAACCAGGAAAACACAGCCTGCTTGATCAGCACCCATTCATCATTAAGCATCTACTCCCTTCAACACCAATGCACAGTTGCAGCTATGTGTACCATCTTCAAGATGTAATTCTCCAAGGTTATTCCAAACCTGCGAATTTCACCATTCAGAAGGTCAAGGGCAGTGGATACATGGGAACACCAGTCCCCTGCAATTTCCCCTCTAAGTCAAGCACCATCCTGACTTGAAACAATATCATTGTTCCTTCACTGTCACTGAGTCAAACTGCTGGAACTCCCTTCCAAACTGTGTTGGTGTATCTGTACCCCCATGGACTGCAAAAGTTCAAGAGGGCGGCTCACCATCATCTTCTCAAGTGCAATTAGATAAGGACAACAAATGCTGTCCTAACTAGCGACGGTCACATCCCATGAAAATAATTTTTCAAACATACGGCATTCAAAATGATACTTGGTACACTTTTAAGAATATAAAAAAGTCCACAGGTAAACAGGGCTGCCATACAATGTCTCATTAATGCTGTAACAAATCTACACAATACCAAACATTGCAAACACAATTACTTCAGCCAGGAGCCACATTTATATTTAAAACAACATATTAATGAATAAGATAACTTTTACATAATTTCAATTGCTTACATTTCTCTGCTGCCACTAATGCCCTGTAACACACAGAATCAAGTAAGACCTAGCAAGAACATTTCTTCTGTTCTCTATCTGTGCCAACAAGTTATCAACAAACAAGGAAAGAAAGTCTCAAAATTGATGCATTTTGCATCAGCTCAAATTTCATGGCAGTTTTTGTCTGGCAGTCTGCCAGCGCACCTGCAGAGAAAAAAGAAATAAGACATATCCAGTAAAAAGCAGATGAACTCTTGCAGTTAATTACCACTCTTTAGCCTCTCCTCAACCGTCAGTGAAGCTCTGAAAAAAATCTTCATCTGTGTCTTGAAACAACACTGTTCACCAATAATCTCTTCACTAATGTTCAGTCCAGAACCACTGGACTCTAGAACATATCATAGACCTCATCTAGAAATAAACTCAGGAGTAGCTTGGCAGAAGAGTTGACAAATCCTGGCAATGAAAATCATAGCAATGTTCAATTGATTGTGGCACCACGCAATAGCAAAACTGTGATCAATACGGCAATTCCAAAACCTTCCAGCAATTAAAGCCACATGTTGTATGTATATGGTAGCGTGAATATAATTAATACTCAAGAAAAAAATGCAACAAAGTTCAAGAAACCATTAATAAACTTGCTAAATAGGTGCACAATTGTCAATTAAATTTCAACATTTGTCAAGTGTGAGGTCATGAATTTTGATAGGAAGAATACAAGGTCGCGTACCTCTTAAGCTGGAAAAGTATAAATAGGGTGGAGGAGCAGCATTGCTCAGTGGGATACATATACAAATTACCAAAAGCAGTAATGCAGGTAATAAGGCAAAACAAACTGGGCTGCAATTAAACTTGTATTGAACATAGGTTCAATCACACTGGGAGGGTTGTGAACAAGTCAGGTCTTCATGTTATACAAAGGATGTAACATCACTGATAAAAGTTTAAAAAAGATTTGCAAGGATGATACCAGAGCAGACAATAATTCACCAATCAGGAAACGTTGGGATACTTTTCTAAGACTACAAGGTAACCATAGAGACCACAATAAGATTAAGGAAAATATGACAGTAGAAAATCCTCCTGCCTATGTTGAGCCCAAAACTAAGTCATAAATGTAAGATTGTCACAAATAAATCCAACGGGGAATTCAAGAGATCCTTTTTTACCCAAAGAGTAATAGAATGTGGTATGAGTTGCTACAAGGACTAGTTAAGGTAAGTAGCGCAGATATATTTAAAAGGGAGCTGGGTAAGTAAATGAGGGAGAAAGAAATAGGATGCACTGGCAAGGTAGATAAGTATTCACGAGAGGAGATTCATTTGTAGAAGAACACCAGCAAAGGCCAATTTGGCTGAAAGGACCTTTTTTGCGCTGTAAACTATATGCAAACAATTATGTAAAGTCATGGTAGTTGGAAACCAATCATTAGAGCCCCAGGCTATCACTGCAGTGGTCTACATGAAGGTAATATGGGCTCAATCACCTTTCCTACCTTCATCAATGATCTTCCCTCTACAATAAGATTAAAATGGGACTGCTTTCTGTGAATTCCAAGTATTCAGCTCAGCTTAATCTGGTTTTAGCATCTAAAAGTAAACAATCTTTAATATTATGAAAAATAAATGCTCCCTCCTGATCTCACATTCTAAATCATTCCTTACACTCTACAAAGCTGCAAGAATCCATAATATGCAACAGCAAGGTGTTAATTGAGTGACTCATAAAATATTAATAAGTTGGGACTATGTATATCAATTGCTAGGCAACTAATTATATCATGAGATTGAAATAACAGACAGGTATCTGATTTTCATGACAAATGTATTATAAATGAAGCTCGGGACTGGATCGTAAGGGGAAACAGAATGGGTGTGCATGAGATGCATGAGAATGTAAGGAAAATAAATTGTCAAGGGAAATCACAGATCAAACTCATCAGGTGTTTTAGTTCTAAAGGGCGTGAATTCGAACTCATGGAATATTTGTACGGGAATATTAGGTAATGTAACATTTTTTTATAAGATGTCAGAATTCATGATTCTTTTCAAACTTTAGCTTTAGTTAGACCACACCCAAAGTGCATTTCTGGGCACCAGACCTCAAGAAGGATATATTGACCTTGGAGGAGTGCAATTCAGATTTACTAGAGATACTTGGGGCAGACTTTCATACTTTAATGGTGGCACGAATTGTATTGTGAAATACTAAACTTGGTTGGCATCCTCCTATTCTCCTAAACCTACAAGATTTGTGTGTGGTCTTCTCACAAGTCTGGAAGGCTTTGGGTGCCATCTTCCAAGGTTGGGCTCCTCAATGTCAGAAGTCACACAACACCGTTTCACCTGACGGAGGAGTAGCGCTCCAAAAGCTTGTGATTTCAAATAACCCTGTTAGTCTATAACCTGGTGTCATGTGACTTCTGACTTTTTCCACCCCAGTCCAACACCGGCATCTCCACATCAGTGCTCCTGAATGTGAGGAACATAAGAAAATTGCATTTCTTCTCATACAATTGGTTGTGTGCTGCTGTGGACTTGAGTAGCCCCATAAACAATGCACTTAGAGTCAGAGAGTTATAGAGTAATACAGCATGGAAACAGGCCCTTCAGCCCAAACTGGTCCAAGCTGACCATGGTGCCCACTCAGCTAGTTCCAATTGCCTGCATTTGGTCCATATTCCTCTAAACACTTCCCATTGATGTACATACCCAAAATGTTTTTTTAAATGTTGCTATTGTACCTGCCACTTTCTCTGGCAGCCCATTCCATATGTGCACTACTCTCTGCATGAAGTTGCCCCTCAGGTCCTTCTTAAATCTTTCCTCTCTCACCTTAAACCTCTAGTTTTCAAGTCCCAATCCCTGGGAAAAGGATTATATGTATTCATCCTATCTATGCCCATCCTATCTATGCCCTGCATGATTTTACACACCTCAATAAGGTCACCCCTCATTCTCCTACATTCCAAGGAATAAATTCCTATCCTGGCCAACCTCTCTCTACAACTCAGGCCTACTAGTCCTGGCAACATCTGCGTAAATCTTCTTTGCACACTTTCCAGTTTAACTATGTCTTTCGTATAACAGGGTGACCAAAACTGTATACAATACTCCAACTGTGGTCTCACCACAACTTATGCAACTGTAACATAATGTCCCAACTCCGATACTCACCACCTCGACTGATGAAGGCAGCATGCTAAATGCCTTCTTCACCACTCTGACTACCTATGACACTGCTTTCAACGAACTGTATACTTGTACTCTTAGGTCCCTCTGTTCCACAACATGCCTCAGGTCCTTACCATTTACTGTTTACTTATTTCTTTGAACACTTTGTGACCACTGAGGGAAGGATGCTGAGTGGTTGGGAACATTCTAAAAGGTGAGTTTAAGATGGTTTAAAATTTCACTATAAGACTGTCCATTGTAATGTAGATATGTTGCTAATGCAATTATTCATTATAGGAATCTGTCATGCAAATTAAAACCTCTGTACCTGTTTTTCTCTATTCAATTACAGGCACTCTGATTTGAAATGGAATTAGGACATCATTTTGTTCCAAACGTTTCAGGCAATGTACTGGAAGCTGTTGTTGTGACAGCTGCAGCTATTTTAAATGCTTGGCTAGGTTTCGAAAGCCATCAATGCCTTTAATTCAGCTGGTGGTCCATTGATCCAAGAATGATTGATATTTTAAATAGGCTGTAATAATAGAATATATGTTTGATTGTGTTTCTTGTTTGCTTACAAAAATCTGATAATCTAATTGAATCTACAAATCTAATCTAACAATTGCATTTTATCAAGCTGGAGTTCTTTTCAGCACCAATGATAGTGGATTGAAATTATTTTGTTACTTAGACATGTGCATCATCGGTGAAGACAGCATTTATTTATTTTTATTTACTTGTTGTTGGTTAGGCCAACATTTATTGGCCTTCCCTAGTTTGCCTTGAGAAATTGGTGGTAATCTGCCTTCTTGAACCGCTACAGTCCACATAGCGAGACCTACTATGCTGTTAGGGAGGGAGTTCCTGGATCTTAATCCAGAAACACCAAGCAAATACTGATATATTTCCAAGTCAAGATGGTGAGTTGCTTGGAGGAGAACTTGCAAATACAGTCTTCTCAAACATGTGCTGCCCTTACCCTTCTGGGTGGTAGAGGTTGCAGGTTTTGAAGGCACTATCAAAGGAGTTGTGGTGAGTCATTGCAGTACATCTTGCAAATAGAACACACGGATGCCTATATTCATCATTGATTAACGGAATAAGTGATGATATTGGGGTATGAGTTGCCAATCAAGTAGGCTGATTTGTCCTAGATTGTGTGTGGTTGAAGCTGCACTTATCAAATCAACTGAGAATATTCTGTCACACTCCTGAAATGTGCCTTTAGATGGTGGACAGATTTTGAGGAGTAGGGAGGAGACAGAATTCCCAGTCTCTGCCCTGTTGTTATATAGCTGGTCCAGTTCAATGCTATGGTTAGATTCTCTCCTGTTGGAGATAATCATTGCTTGGTATTTGTGTGGGGAAAATGTTACTTGCCACTTATCAGCCGAAGCCTGGATACTGTTCAGGTTTTACTGCATATGGACATGGATTTTATCAGTGTCAGAGGCGTCTTAGATGGTATTGAACATTGCACAATGACCAGTAACCATCACCACTTCTGACCCCACGATGAAAGACTGGTCATTGATAAAATATCAAAAGATAGTTGGACCTAAGACACTGCCCTGAGGAACTCCTGCAGTAAAGTCCCAGAATGGAAATGGTTGACTTCCAACAACCATAACCATCTTTCTTTATGTTATGCATGACCCCAACCAATGGACAGTTTTCATCTGATTCCCATTGACTCCAGGTTTGCTAGGGGTCCTTGATGCCACAATCAATCAAATGCTGCCTTCATGTCAAGGGTAGTCACTCTCACTTCACCTGTGGAATTCAGCTCTTTTATCCATGTTTGAACCAAATTTGTAATGAGGTCAGGAGAACAGTGGCTATGGCAGAACACATACTACATACCAGTGACCAGTTATTACTGAGCAAGTGCCACTTGATAGTACTCTCAATGACCCCTTCCATTACTTTGCTGATGACCAAGAGAAGACCAATGGCACATAATTAGCTGGGTTGGATTCGTGTTGCTTTTTACCTGGATAATTTTCCACATTCCTTGACATTCAATGGCATTACCATTGCTGCATCCCCCACTACCACCATTCTGGGGGCTTCCATTGATCAGAAACTGAACTGGACCAGTCATATAAATTCTGTGGGTACAAGAGCAGGTCAGAGGCTGGCAATCTGCAGTAAGTAACACACCTCCTGACCTCCAGGCATCCTCCCTACTTGTCTGGATAAGTAAAGGTCCAACAACAC